GCTCCCCCCAGGCACCCTAGATAGCAGTTCTCTGCTCCACACAGAGGGCTGTGGTAGCTCGGTGGTCTGTGGTTGTGTCAGGAAGAGCATCCGGCGTAAAAATAATTGCCAAGTCTTAGTGCAACTCAGTTTGCTGTGGTGACCTTTGAAGAAGGGAGCAACCGAAAGAAGAAGAAGAAAATACAAAATGACGTTAGGAGTTTTAAAAAGTAGACAGCTAAACAAGAAAATCTGTCTTCAAAAGCTCCACGGTGAAACTTATTTTTACATTTCAATCTCAGGCGGAGCTGTTACGTCTCAGCAAGAAGGTGCTCGTGTCGCCATTCAACCACTGTGTTGGAAGTGGGCTTGTTTAATTCCCAGGTTGAGAGAAGACTTGTGCCGACATGAATAACAGCTGATAAGAATAAAGTTTTACCATTTAATTCATTTTAAGGTAGATAAAAGGTACAGGTTTACAGCTCTGCGACTTCGTCCCACCTGTCGCGACCCGGAAACGAAGTTCCGAGCTCCCGAAGAAACTTGACTTTCTTCAACTCTAGATTCTGCCCTTAGTCTGGGACTGAGTGCAACCTGATTGGGTCAGTAGTGTATTATGTATGGACCTGTACAGGTCATAACTGCTTTAAACTGATGATACCGTGGTGTCTAAAATATGTAAGCTAGAAGTAAACGATTTCTTATAGCAGGGGTTGTTTCCGTGACTGCTCATCTCTGAGCAGATGAAAAAAATCTTTGCCCGCCCAGAGACAGACCTTGGGTCTATCTGGTCTGTCCAGACACCAGACAGACCCAAGGTCTGTCTCTGGGCGGGCAAAGTAAGGTTTTCTTTTGAGTTCAGAGAGGACACATGTAACACCGGTTTGAATCCCGGCCAGGGGATCTTTCTGGGTGGAGTTTGCATGTTCTCTCTGTGCATGCGTGGGTTTTCTCCGGGTACTCCAGTTTTCTCCCACAGATCAAAAACATGCATGTTAGTCTGATTGGTAACTCTAAATTGTCTCTAGGTGTGAGTGAGAGAGTGAATGGTTATTTGTCTCGTTTGTCTCTGTGTCCCTGTGATGGACTGGAGACCTGTTCAGGGTGCACCCCGCCTCTCGCAAAGTGACTGCTGGACCCCCGTGACCTGAAAAGGAAGAAGCAGGTAAAGATGGATGGACTTCAGTCTTAAATGAAAAATACACACAAATGTGTAAATTTGTCACAATCATCCATAGACTCCAGTTAACATGACCGATAAGTTTTAAGACTCAGAGATGGAAGGCTGATGATGAGGACTCAGCTATAAAGAGGGAAGTGTCTTTATTTACAGTGAAAAACAGGAGAATTGCTGAAAAGAGAAATAAGGTACAGATGATTCTAACAAGGTTGATTCAGGGACAGATTGTTTTTGGTTGAAACATTTTGTCTTTTATCCAAAAGACTTTTTCAGTCTGAGGAGCTGTAATAAGCTCAGTCTTATACTGTAAATAGCTCCATCTCATAGTGGATCAACCAGTTTGTTGTTGACTTCCAGAACTAGCTGTTCACATTATAACGGAGGACCATCAATCTAACAATTGGTCGTTGCATATACTCATATTAATTAAGGCAAAAAGACAATAATACCAAAGTAATACAATGGATAAACTAAATTAGATATTACATTTGTCTCAACAAATGGTCTTGTTAAGTCAGGTCAGTACTTTATTGCCAGTCGTAAAATACATTGCTCAGAATTAAATTTTGTGTACAG